ATATTTCCATATTAAACTAAGACTTTCTTGTTAGTACTATCAACAATATTAATAAACAATAGTAAAACACTTTGCTCTTTGGGGTACCAAGGACTAAAAAGCATGTGCCCAAGGAAATAAAAGAACACCAAAAAACTGAAAATGCTAATGATTTGAGTGTGTGTGTGTGTGTGTGCTGGTACATACTAATATTATATGTACACACTAACCAGCAAATGTCAGTTTGTTGTACTGTGGGGGCTCTCGTGTTGCTGTGATGCTGGAAGCTATGCCACTGGTATTCAGATACCAGCAGGGTCACCCATGGTGGAAAGGTTTCAGCCGAGCTTCCAGACTAAGACAGACTAGGAAGAAGGACCCAGAAGTCTACTTGTGAAAAAGAATTAGCCAGTGAGAACCTTATGAACATTGGCTGATGTAGTGCCAGAAGATGAGCCCCCCTAAGTTGGAAGGCACTCAAAAAATGACTGGGGAAGAGCTGCCTCCTCAAAGTTGAGTCGACCTTAATGACATGGATGGAGTCAAGCTTTCAGGACCTTCATTTGCCGATGTGGCATAACTCAAAATGAGAAGAAACAGCTACAAACATCCATAAATAATGGGAACGTGGAATGTACGAATATAAATCTAGGAAAATTGGAAACGGTCGAAAATGAAATGGAATGCATAAACATTGATATCTTAGGCATTAGTGAGCTGAAAGGGACTGGTATTGGCCATTTTGAATCAGATAATCTTATGGTCTACTATGCCAGGAATGACAACTTGAAGAGGAATGGCATTGCATTCATCATCAAAAAGAACATTTCAAGATCTATCCTGAAGTACAACGCTGTCAGTGATAGGGTATTATCCATATACCTACAAGGAAGAACAGTTAATACGACTATTATTAAAATTTACTCACCAACTACTAAGGCTAAAGATGAAGAAATTGCAGAATTTTCACCAGCTTCTGCAGTCTGAAAGTGATCGAACATGCAATCAAGATGCATTGATAATTACATCTTGGTGACTGGAATGCGAAAGTTGGAAATAAAGAAGAAGGACTGGTAGTTGGAATATATATAGCCTTGGTGATAGAAACAATGCTAGAGATCTCATGAGAGAATTTTGCAAGACCAATGACTTCATTGCAAATACCTCTTTTCACCAACATAAATGGCGACTATACACATGGACTTTGCCAGATGGAATACACAGGAGTCAAATTGACTACATCTGTGAAAAGAGATGATGGAAAAGCTCAATATCATCAGTCAGAAAAAGGCCAGGGTCCAACAGTGGAAAAGACCATCAATTGCTCATATGCAAGTTCAAGCTGAAGCTGAAGAAAATTAGAACAAGTCCACGAAAGCCAAAGTACGACCTTGAGTATATCCCACCTGAATTTAGAGACCATCTCAAGAATACATTTGATGCGTTGAACACTAATGACTGAAGACCAGAAGACTTGCGGAATGACATCAAGGACATCATACATGAAAAATGCAAGAGGTCATTAAAAAGACAGGAAAGAAAGAAAAGACCAAAGTGGATATCAGAAGAGACTCTGAAACTTGCTGTTTAACGTCGAGTAGCTAAATCAAAAGGAAGAAATGATGAAGTAAAAGAACTGAACGGAAGATTCCAAAAGGCGGCTTGAGAGGACATAGTAAAGTATTATAACGTCGTGTGCGAAGAGCAGGAGACAGAAAGCTAAAAGGGAAGAACACGCTCAGCATTTCTCAAGCTGAAAGAACTAAAGACAAAATTCAAGTCTCAAGTTTCAATATTGAAGGATTTTACGGGGAAAATATTAAATGATGCAGGAAGCATCAAAAGAAGATGCAGGAATGCACAGAGTCATTATACCAAAAAGAATTGGTCGACGTTCAGTCATTTCAGGAGGTAGCATACGATTAGGAATTGACGGTACTGAAGGAAGAAGTCCAAGCTGCAATGAAGGCATTGGTGAAAAACAAGTCTCAGGGAATTGATAGACTACCAACTGAGATGTTTCAACAAACGGATGCAGTGCTGGAAGTGCTCACTCATCTGTGCCAAGAAATTTGGAAGACAGCTACCTGGCCAACCAACTGGAAGAGATACATATTTATGCCTATTTCCGAGAAAGGTGATCCAATAGAACGTGGAAATTACTGAACAATATCATTAATATCACACCTAAGTAAAATTTTGCTGAAGATCATTCAAAAGCAGCTGCAGCAGTATATTGGCAAGGAACTGCCAGAAATTCAGGCTGGATTCAGGTGAGGATGTGGAACCAGGGATATCATTGCTGATGTCAGATGGATCCTGGCTAAAAGCAGAGAATACCAGAAAGATGTTTACCTGTGTTTTATTGATTATGCAAAGGCATTCGACTGTGTGGATCATAACAAATTATGGATAACATTGTGAAGAATGAGAATTCCAGAACACTTAATTGTGCTCATGAGGAACCTGTACATAGATCAAGAGGCAGTCATTCTAACAGAACAAGAGGATACTGCATGTTTTAAAGTCAGGACATGTGTGCATCAGGGTTGTATCCTTTCACTAAACCTATTCAATCTGTATGCTGAGCAAATAATCCAAGAAGCTGGACTATAAGAAGAAGAATGGGGCATCAGGATTGGAGGAAGACTCACTAACAACCTGCAATATGCAAATGACACATCCTTGCTTGCTGAAAGTGAAGAGGACTTGAAGCACTTACTGATGAAGATCAAACACCAGTATGGATTACACCTCAACATCTGTGTGAATCACACCTCACCATAAACAAAACAAAAATTCTCACAACTGGACCAATAAGCAACATCATGATAAATGGAGAAAAGATTGAAGTTATCAAGGATTTCATTTTACTTGGATCCACCATCAACACTCATGGAAAGAGCAGTCAAGAAATCAAAAGACACACTGCATTGGGGAAATCTGCTGCAAAAGACCTCTTTAAAGTGTTGAAAAGAAAGACGTCACCTTGAAGACTAAGGTGCACCTGACCCAAGCCATGGTGTTTTCAATCGCCTCATATGTATGCGAAAGCTGGACAATGAATAAGGAAGCCGGAAGAAGAATTGACACCTTTGACTTGTGGTGCTGGAGAAGTACATTGAATATACCATGGCTGCCAAAAGAATGAACAATTCTGTCTTGGAAGAAGTACCACCAGAATGCTCCTTAGAAGCAAGGATGGCAAGATTGCATCTCACATACTGTGGACATGTTATCAGGAGAGATCAGTCCCTGGAGAAGGACACTATACTTGGTAAAGTAGAGAGTCAGCAAAAAAGAGGAAGACCCTCAACGAGATGGATTGACACAGTGGCTGCAACAACGAGCTTAAGTATAAAACAATGATTGTGAGCACGGTGCAGGACAGGGCAGTGTTTTTTTCTGTAGTACAGAGGTTCGCTATGAGTCGGAACCAACTCGACGGCACCTAACCACAACCAGCAAAAATGTAACTTGGGGATGATATCTGCAAACATATAATTCCCTTTTAGTGCCTGAGCATTGTGAAAGGTGGATCTTCATGTTAACAGCTCTATTGGGATAATGTGGGGAGCAATTCTGCCTTACTACTTAAAGGGTTTTGTACTTTTGGTCCATTTATGGACTTCCCTCCAAGGCTAGTTTCATAACAAGTAATGGCAGGGTTTTCTCTATTTCTAAAAAATGGATGTAAATTGTGAGAAATGAAACAAAGGCACTTGGTAAATGAGCACTAAGAAATAATAAATGGGAGCTAAAAACAGACTAAAGAGACAAATGTGTTGTAATAATATAAATAAGGGGTTTCACTCTAGCTGAGTAAGTGTCTTATTTCTCTATCTCACTTTGACCGTGATAAAGAAAGTGGTGAACGACACGGATGCTAACAGATATCTCATTGATACGCAAAGAAGTATCCTAAAAATGATCACTGATGTATTCGAACAGTAGTGTTGGTGAAGAATATTGAATATACCATGGACTGCCAAAAGAACAAATCAGTCTTGGAAGAAATACAACCAGAATGTTCCTTCGAAGTGAGGATGGAGAGACTTTGACTCACTTACTTTGGACGTGTCATCGGTAAAGACCAAGTGCTAGAAAAGGACATCATGTTTGGGAAAGTGGAGGGCCAAAACAAAAACGAGCGAAACCCTCAGTGAGACGGATTGACACAATAGCCACGACAATGGACTCAAACACACCAGCAATCACAAAGATGGCCCAGGACCAGGCGACATTGCGTTCTGCTATACATAAGGTTGCCGTAAGTCAGAGCAGACTCAATGGCAGCTAACAGCAACGATAATGATCATAAATAAAAAATAGTGTCTCAATCTAATAGCTGCTATAAAAATGATACTTATTTACCATACTGTATTTCTTTTCGAAGCTCTGAGCTCTTTTGTATCTAGAACAACTCCTAGAGAACAGAAATTAAGGTTGTGGCCACCCAACAGCCTGGTATATAGAAATGTTTGGATTTTTCCTTTGAAGGCTGCAACACTCTTAAACCTAAATCTTTTCATTGGCATTCTGTATATTACCTAACAGTGTAGAACGGTCACATCTTCCCCACACCCCTAAGAAAAAGAGGAGACATTATAGCAGTCTCTAGATTTTTCATGCTAAGGATAATGGCAGGTTATCCAAAGAGGGGGAAAAAATCTTAGTTAACTTTCTATTTTGTAACTGTACTTGAGTATGAGAGAAACGCTTTAAAAAATGCACAGCCTTTGATATTAAATAATAAAGATCTGTGGCCGGAGGAACCGGAAAGCTGTTCAGCATCCCATGTTGACTCCTGTCCAGGAAACATTCTTCTTTGCGTAGTGCTACTTAGACAGGCATTTATTGGCTCACATCTCAGAGAGCCACATATACGTATGAGATCACTCATAACTAGTTTGCATGTTTTAATTTTTAAATAGTTTCCAGTTCCTGTTGGGTTAGAGAGGCATCGTTACAGTGGAAAGAACAGGGAATGGATAGACTGACAGACATAGAAAGAGGAGGGAGCAAGGGACAGCAAAAGGGAAATGGTTTCATTATGACCCACAAATGTAAAATTCCCTAATTAAGAACAATGTAGAATTTTTTTAAAAAGCAAATACGTAGAGGTATGGTTTAGTACTTTTCCATTAATTTTTCAAAGGTCTTGACCTCCTAAAGAAAAATTTCTGACTAAAAGGGGTTTTCCTCACCACTCAGTTCCTTCTTTTGCTGGGTCCTAGGGTGAAGCAATGATCCTATATTTGGCCCTTCAGACAGTTGCCACGGAAATGAGAGCGGTAAACACTTTCAGCTTTCTGGCTTCGTGGTGGGATCCAGGGCAGAATGTGATTGAGCTGTCAGAGACCTTCTCTCAGTAAAGTTTTACCTGGTAAGTAAGAGTTTCCAGAAAATTGGTGACACATAAGGGAAGGAAAATAGGTTAAGTCACTGAAAAAATCCCTTTTGATTCATAGACTGTCTACATGATCGAAACATGAGAAATCATCTCTTTCTCTAAGCAGATTCTTCACAATTCACAGGTAAGTACCTCGGAGGACAAATAAAACTTCCCTGTGTTTTTATGAGGAGGAATCACATTGATGTTGTTACTGCTGCTGTTGTTGTGTGCTCTCAAGTTGATTGCGACTCAGAGTGACCCCATGTGACAGAGTAGAACTGCCCCATAGGGTTTTGTTGGCTGCAATTTTTACAGAAGCAGATCGCCTGGTCTTTCTCCTGCAGAGCAGCTGGGTGGATTCTAACAGCTAACCATTTAGCAGCTAAGCCCTTAACCGTTGTGCCCCAGGAATCATGTTAGCAAAAGGAAAACAGGGTTCTTGAGTGCCGGAGAAATAACCTGTAACGCTAAATTGGATAGAAGGGAGTGGCACAGTGAATGTGAGGGAGAGGACTAAAGCCATTTAAACTATTTTAAGTACAAATTAAATATTCTTTTTGAAAGAAAGAAAACTGTGAAGGTCAAAGAAAACTGGCTTTTCACAGCTGGACTCATCCATGACAATGGACTTAAAACTTTATTTGCATCACTTGGGACCTGGGAAAGAACTCCAGCCGTTAGTTTGAATCCATTGAGCTTTTCCACATGATTGACCCTCTAGTGAGACTATATGCGATTACGTGAGGTGAGTGCTTTTCATACTGGGATTAAAGAAGGAAACAGACCACTCCATGCAAAAGACGAGACTTGTTTGATAGACCTCAGTATTTAGACAGCTACTTGGAAGAAGACCTACCAGATATTGGTGGAATAAACCTGTTGCTGTCGAGTGGATTCCAACTCAGAGTGACACTATAGGACAGAGTAGAACTGCCCCATAGGGTTTCCAAGGAGCACCTGGTGGATTTGAACCGCTGACCTTTTGGTTAGCAGCAAAGCTCTTAACCACTGTACCACCAGGGCTCCATTAGTGGAATAGGAAAGAGAAACTGCAATTTATACCATCTCTCTAGTATTTGGAATTTTAAGTTCCTCCAGTTGAAAATATCCATTATCTATATAATTGCTGACGGGTGTGTAAATTATTACACTCACTTTTGAGAGCAATTTGGCAATACTTAGAAAAGGTGAATATGCACATTCCATACAACCCAGCAGTTTTCCTCCTAGGTGGCTATCTAGAGAAGCTCTTATGCATGTACAAGAAGGCAAATATAAGGATGTTCATTATTACCTCATTCCTAATAGTAAAAATATGGAAACAATCTAATTTCCTGTAGGAAAAAAAAAAAAAAAAACCCAAACCTGTTGCCATCCTGTTGATTCCGACTCATAGAGATCCTATACGACAGAGCAGAACTGCCGCACAGGGTTTCCAAGGAGTGGCTGTTGGACTCAAACTGGCAACCTTTCGGTTAGCAGCCGAGTTCTCAACTGTCCTGTAGAGAAATAAACTGTTTATTCACATAATGAAATTCTACAGAGCAATTGAAATGAAAGAACTATATTAACATGTATCAATGTGAATAAGTCTAAAAAATATCAAGTAAAAAGTCAAACATGTTATTATTTATTTAAAATTTGAAAACACAAAATAATAGTTTGCATTTTGGGGGATATATACTTGCATAGTAATGGAACAAAAATATACCTGGGAATAATACCCACCAACTATCTCTGAGAAGGGAGGGCAAAATGATACTGGAAACTAGGGGGGTGACTTTAGCTATATTTGTAATGTTTCACTTTAAAATAAGAAACTAGATTTGTGCCAAATTCACTACATCGTTAGCATCTTTTAAATCTATATCGTAAGTACATGGCTCCAGCTAAATTATTTTCTGAAAGTTTCACATACTTCGTAAATAAAAGATGTCTTTAATTCTCATCATCTGAATTTCTGGCAGTATAATAGAACTCTTCAGACAGGTAACATTGTTGTAACCACCTTTTATATCTGTTATAATGGAAAGCCCAGAGAGGTTAGGTGTGACACGGTCGAAGGGCTCCATCCAGTTAAATGGTGACGTGAAGATTAGGGACTAGTCACCTCTTCCCCAGCACTCTCCATAATTACTCATGTGCTACAGAGACAAATGTATCACTTAAGTCACCAATGACCCAAACCTTTGGAATGTCCAGTTTGAACCCATTGGACCTGTCGCATCATCCAAATCACACTCTACAGATGATGTGTTACCTGCTCTGCTAACCCACAGGGGTCAGCCCTACTTGGGAGAGCTCAGATATTCCACTTCTCAGGACACAAGGAACCAAGACTACTGATCTGGAAATTCTCTGAAACAACTGAGAAGTTGGCAGAAGCTGTGAAATGAAGGTTTTACTGACCATAATTAGTTTTGACTGGAAAGTAATAATTAGAACATTTTTATTCTTTGTAAAATATATTTTAATATCATTCAACATAAATTTATAGGATAACGTGATTATTTAAACTGAATTTCCAAATCAATTCAAATAATTTAATTTTTGGAAAATGACTATTGTCAAGGATTCCATGATAGAACATTGAAACAATGGGTAGGAAATATTCAGGGAATACTCAGATTAAGAATAATCTTGCATTTGTGCTGTAAACTTTCACCTAAAGCACAATAAAATTTAAAAATCAATCAATAAATTTTGTTTCTGTAACACCTAGCATGTTCAGACAAAAAATGCATTGCTTAGTACATGCTGTTTACCATGTTTTACACAGTTTGGGTAACAGAATTTTTATTGCACTAATTAGTTAGGTATGGTCAACCCACTTCAGACATCTAAAGGGATTCTTTAATCTACATCTTCATGAAAAAAACAAAAAGGATTTGAAGGAGAATGACTGAACTTACTTTGAGGAACAACTAGATACACAATTTATGCATGATTTCATACCACAAATTTACCAAACATACACTGTTGTGGGGGAGGAGTGGTATTAATCATGCACCTAAACACACATATAAATATAAGGAATACGTAGGCATTCTTCGTAGCTATGGATTAAAAAAAAAAAAAAAAAGTCTCTATTCTTGGCTCAAATTAGAATTCTGTCTTCATTCATTACTCAGGTTTTACTTATATGTCCCAGACTATTTCCATCTGTTCCCTCCATCATCTCTTTTTGCAAAAAACTCAGGTGCTTATCTGATTGCTCAAGGTTCGTTTAAAATACGGTATTGGTAAGCAGTATTCCTAAGGAGGGAGCCCCGGTGGCACAGTGGTTAAGAACTCGGCTGCTAACCGAAGAGTCAGCAGTTTGAATCCACCAGCTGCTTCTTGGAAACCCTATGGGGCAGTTCTCTATGAGTCGGAACCAACTCAACGACTGCGTAACAACAGCATTCCGAAGGAGTGTACTCTCTTTTCAACATGCTCTATAAAATGTTTGTGTGCTAAGTGTTCTCCAAGATATTCCCCTGATGGGTTAATGGAAGGGATGTTTTAACTCTAGTCTTCTGGGTTAAAAGAGTGCCTTTTAGACTGTATTAGCAATGAAAACACGAAGACCCTGACACTTCTTGCATTCCACCATCAAACACCCCCCCCCCACCAGAGCATGACAGTTTAGGAATGTTTTATAAGTGATATTATGGGGCACTAATATTTATAGATTTTTACTGAATGATTGTTTATATGGTTTGATCCTATGGAGCACAGTTCTACTTTGACAAATATGCGATCACCAAAAGTTGGAATTGGCTCAACAGCTTGTTAACTGGGTCTATGGTGTGACATTTGATTTATGTATGATATAGTCTGAGTGGGGTCTATTACCAAGAGAAGTAACAGTAATAGGACTTACACGTCTCTAAAGAAAAGACAGAAAAAAATAATGTAATATGGTGTACCTATATATCTTTTCATCAGCATAAAATTAAAATCAAAGACCTTATTCCAGAACATAATTTCTTTTGACTATGGATGTTTCTTTATTTATGTACAGTTAGTTCTTTTGTATATGTCAGTTTTTCCCAAACTGTATTCAATAGAAACTGTGATATTAACTCTTTTGTTAAGTGTGAAGGAAAAAAAAAAAAAGAAAAGTGCTCCGCTGTCAAGTAAATTGGTATATTTGAGGTTAGACAAAATTAAATCAGTTTCATTTTTGAAGATCTTCTCAGAGCCTATATTTGAGCATCCATTATAAAAGTCAAGAGACTCTGAAGTATACAATGTACCAATCCCCCCCACACACACACATACACATACACCTCTCTGATGTTAATTTTGGCAATTCGAATGCTTATTACTATCACTTGGGTACTTGTTAATTCATATTCAGGCAGACTAGATAAATTTGGACTTGTATTACGTATCTATTCTTATATTAGCTTCCTAACCTATTTTTAAAATGCAATTGAAGTCTTCACTTCTTATTTAAATTATAAAATGTATATTCATAAAAATTCAAACCAGACATAGATATGGTGAATTTAAAAAAAAAATCTCCTTTACCTTCTTCCTAATCACACCCTCCTCCCTCAGAAGTAACCACTGTCAACAGTGGCTGGGGAGTCTCTTTTTAGCCATTTTTACATAAAACAATTGAATTTCTGCCTCATATATTTAGAGGAAAATGTTCAAGGATCTTCAACATTGGATTAGAGAGGAAGAAAAAACTTTTTAAAAATCTTCAAATAATATATTTTGCCTGATAATTCAATAATTACATTTTTAATAGTGTCAGATGTGGTTTTAAGTGAAATTCTTGACTTTTAATTAACATAATAAGTAATTGGTTACCAAAAAAGTGGGCTAAAGAATAATACAATTTCTAGATATTCGCCCCCCAAAATTGTATTAGATATATTACACTTTTAACTTTAGTCTTTCTTTTAACCGTTCACTAATTTATGTCAAACTATCAAAATGAGCATAAATCAAACCACATCTTCACTCACCAAACTGAGACAAGACCTCAACGCCCTCTAGTGGGGTGGCCTCTGTGTTCCACCATCTGTGACAACTCCCTAATTCTAGTTGATGAAGTGGGAAAATAGCTATTCCATGAAGATGGCATTATAACTTGTCACTGGTAGAACTGTACTTTAACAAATATACAAACATATTAAAGATAAA